GAACACACACACACACACACACACACACACACACACTTCCTATGGCGCGAGATACAGGCCCAAAGACTCAGTGAGAACTGTGTTCAAGTTCTACAAAGAGTGGGCAGCCATTTGGAATATACAATTGCAGAGTGGCCTGGTGCATAGGGCCATCGGTGGGACCCCAGCCAGGCCTGTCTGCTCAGAATCTGTTTTGTCTCTCCGTGCAGCATACTCTCCTTTTGCGTGTGGGCCAGGGCCCCCTGGAATCAGGATCTGCAAAGGAACCTGAGACCATGAACTCTCTGAGTGTTACAGCTTGCTTTAGGAGAGAGAGGTGACAGAGGACAGGGCAGGAGAAGGTCAGAGAGCCCTTGTTTCTGAGGCCTTCTAGTCTCCCTCAACTTAAGTGCTCAACTTGATAAGTTGTGTTTTAGAATGCTGTTTTCTGAGCCTCCATATAGTGAACAAAGGATTAGACAGTATTCTTTAACCAAATTGTGTGAGGCAACTCAAAAAAGTGACAGTGTTTATAAAGAAGATGTTGTCTGTGATGACACAAATGAAGACTTCAATACATTTAAATGTGGAAACTTTTTTAAGTACTGTATTAAACACACTTGGGATTCTATATGTGTGTTAGTCTAAATTAATAAACTCATGCTTATAATGTGATTGTCGGTTCATTTATATTACTATAAGTTATTAAATTTTTGGACCCTGTCATTGGGGAAACAACTCACCAGATTATTTCAGGTCACCTTATATGACAATATTTATTGGGTACCTTAGGGTTTTCATTGTTGTTGTTGTGATAAAGCACCATTACCAAAAGCTATGGGGGGAAAGGGTTAAATTTATATTGCAGTGACTTACAATCCATCATCATAGAAAATCAGGACAGGAACTCAAGCAGGGCAGGAACCTGGAGGCAGGAGCTGATGCAGAGGCCATGGAGGATGCTGCTTACTGGCTTGTTCCCCATGGCTTGCTCAGCCTGCTTTCTTACAGTTCCCAGACCACTGATAGCACGGCCCACAGTGAGCTAGGGGCCCCCACACTGATCATCAGTTTTTTTAAAAAATGTACCACAGGTTTGCCCATAAGCCAGTCTGGTGGGGGCATTTTCTCATTTGCGGTTCCATCTTCCAGAGTAGCTCTAGCTTGTGTCAAGTTGATATAAACCTATAGTCTTTAAGGCGGGGGTTTCCCAGCTGAGGTTGTTGTCTTCTAGGGGATAGACCTCAAGAATGGAACTCCATCATGAGATGAATGAGGTACCCAAGTTCAGATTCTACCTCTTATTGATTTTTGGATGCCCTTGAGTTTGAGTCCTAACATGAAACCTCCTGTTCATGATTTTATTCTCATGTTTTTTAAGGCTATTTCAGAGTAACTCCAGAAAGTCTTTGTGGATATATTACAACACCACACTTCATTTTTGAAGTGCTGTGTCTTACATCCCAGGCTGCCCTGGAACTCCCTGTGTAGCCAAGGATGGATGACTTTGAACTTTTTTCATTGATTGTTTTGTTTCTTGAGACAGGGTTTCTCTGTATATAGCTGACTGTCCTAGCTCACTTTGTAGACCAGGCTGCCTGGAACTCGGAGATTAACCTGCCTCTGCCTCAAAGCTGACCTTGAACTATCTTCCTGCCTCTACCTCCCAAGTGCTGGTATTACAAGTGTGCACCACTATACTTGGTTCTACCGTGCTCAGGTTTAAGACCAGAACTTTATGCACACTAGGCAAGGACTCTCCCAACTGAGAAACATATCCGGTCCTTTTGTTATTAAAGGCATAGGAACTTCTGTAAGACGAAGTCTTATATGCAGCACTAATAAGCTGTGTCATTATGATGTGTTTGGATTTCATTTAGAAACTGTGATGGTTAACTTAATTGTCAATTTGACACAACAGTCAATACTGGGTTGGCCTTTGAGATGTTTGTTCAAGATTATCTTAAATTAATTGATGTAAGAAAGCTAAGCCACTGTGGGTGACATCATTCCCTAGGTATGGGATCCTGAATTGCATAAGAATGAAGAAAGTGAGCTGACCACAATCCAGTGAGCATGTATTCACTTCTACTACTGACTGTTGATGCCATGTGACCAGCTCTCAAGCTCCTGCCACTGTGACTTCCTGCCAGTGATAGACTATAGCCTGGAAATTTTAGCTAAAATAAACCCTTTGTCCCCTAAGTTGCTTTTTTTTTTCTAATCAGAGAGCTTTACAGCAACGGAATTAAAAGTAGAACAAAAGCTCTTTGGTTCAGTTCAAGCTTGTCTCTAGACCCTGAGAAAAAGACACAGCAACCCAAGCTGCAATGTTGGCGATCCTGCAAGTTGCAGTCTGGTTTTTCTAGTGTCTGTGGAACGAATAGCTTGTTTCCCAACAGACAGAACGAAAAGGATCAAGGAGTTCATTCTAGGCTCAGTGATGTCTGACAGGCTTAAGACTGGCAGTGTGCCACGACTCCCCACCATCAGCCACTGGTCTTCTGCAATTGTTGACAAACACAGATAGGCATGTTAGATGTTGGCTGACAGATAGTCATAAGAAAGGTGTCATCACTTTGAATGCTGTAACAACAGAAACTTTGCACTTTTGAAACAGGTCAGTCAAGTTCTGTCTTATCTGCAAATTTGCCTCTGCTTGCTGAGTTGGCAGAAGTGTCTTGCTACTTGCTGCCCAGGCTACACACATCACAAACATCCTGTTTCCCATCATCTCCCAGTGCTCAGGAGAAACTCAGTCTTGGTGATTTATGCCAGGATGTAATTCCCTTTCATTGAAGTCAATTCTGTTATTTGTGGGTGGTGAATGTGCTTGTGTATGTGTGCATGTGGAGACCAGAGGTTGCTGTGTGCCTTCTTTTTATTTATTTCGCTATGTGTATATACATGATGTGAGCCTGTCCAGCCAGCCACAGGGGTCCCAGGAGGAATGCAGCCAGTGATCCAGGGAGGTTAGGCAAGGTCCCTGGGCGCTCAGAGGCAGGGAAGGACTCCCCTCTGTTGATGGACACACAAAGGGGGCTCTGATGAAGCAGCGGGCTTTGGTCCAGGGATGGTGGCAGAGAGAAGATCCACACTGTGGTCAGTCCCTAGCTTTGTCCTCTCTGTGCTACGGCAGCAATTTTGTTTTGTGGGCCTGTGTGAGAACTTTAGTTTCTGCAATTCATAGTATTTACAAGTTACTAAACAGTCTTAATCCTGTGTTTGATCAACTTTATTGTTTACTCCAAGTTGCTCTGTCTCCAAGAAACTCCTTGGATTTTTGCCTGGCCTGGTTCTTTCATGTGACAGAGCTGTGGTCAGCGCTCTGGAAGAGCCAACTGAGTTAAAGCATAGTTCTTTGTCGTCCTTTAAGTTTTTTATTAAAATTGATGCACTTTGTTTATTGTGTGTGTGTGTAAGTGCATGAATGGCACAGTCCAGGAGCAGAGGACAACCTACAGGAGTTGATCTGTTTCCTTCCACGGGAGTCCTGGGGATGCAACTCGGGTCTTCCGGCTTGGAGTCAAACACATTTACTCACTGGACCACCTCCCTCCCCCAGTGTCTCCTCAGGTCACCCGGTGTGGCACGGGCTTCAGCTTGCTCTGCCTACCTAGGGAAGCCTGTAGTGGAGTACAGATTGAGTAACCTCAGCTCTTCTGGCTCAGCAACTCTGAGAGAAGCGTTCTACTGCTCGCCCCTCAGAGGACAGTGGGTGGCCTCAGGTCCTCTACAGCCCTCATGGTTTTCTACCACGATCTCAGTTCATTCGTCTGTAGAAAAATACCTTAGATCGGGCAGTTTCTAAACAATGGAAATGTATTACTTCCAGCTCTGGAGGCCAAGAAGTCCAAGATCAGGATGGCAGCATACCGAGATTCTTTCTTCTTCATGGATGGCTCCTTCTCCTTGAGTCCTCCCAGGGCCCAGTGTCAAGAAAGCTCCCTCAGGTCTCTTATGAGAAGAGTACTAATTCCATTCAAAAGAGTGAGACCCTCATGACCTCATTACCTTCCAAAGGCCTTACTTCATATCACACAGGGGTTAAATTCTACCATGCAGATTTTGAAGGGCAAAACTTTTGTATTGCAGTAATCGATCATTGTTGTGTTTTTGTTTTGTTTTGTTTTTTATGTTTTTGGCTCTTTGCTCCTTTGGGGGCCTATCACACAGCTTCCAAATAAATACATATGGAGGCTTATTATTATGAATGCCTGACCTTAGCTTGGCTTGTTTCTAGCCAGCTTTTCATAGCTTAAATTATCCCATCTGTCTTTTGCCTCTGGGATTTTGTCTTTATTTCTGTACACCTTTCTTTGCTTCTTACTCCACGCCCTGCTGTGTAGCTGGGTACCTGGCTCCGGATCCTCCTCTTCCTCTCTGCTGCCAGCCCTGCCTATTTCTCTGTCCTGCCCATCTACTGTCTGTTCAGCTCTTTTTATTAGACCAACCAGGTGTTTTAGACAGGCAAAGTGGCACAGCTTTACAGAGTTAAACAAATGCAACATAAAAGAATGCATCACATCTTTGCATCATTAAAACAAATGTTCCACAGCATAAACAAATGTAACACATCTTAAACTAACATTCCACAACAATCAGTCTTTGAAGGATCTAATTGCTTACCTGTTAGAATTCTCAGAGTGAGGGATGAAGCAGTCTGAATCGATACTTTAAAGAAATAATTTGTTTTTGTTTTGTGACAGCATCTCAAATAGCCCAGGTTAGCCAGGATATAAGGATGACCTTGACCTCCTGATCCCCCTGCCTCCACGTCCTCAAAGCCAGGATTGATGGCATACACCAGCACACCTGTATTATACAGTGCTGTGGATCGAACCCAGGGCCTCATGTGTGCCAGGCAAGCACTCTGCAAACAGAGCTACATTCCCCAGCCATGGGAATCTTGGCTTTTTTGCTATCATTCTAAAGCAAATGTCCAATAGTTTAGCCATCAGTTACCTTATCCATTTGTTAGGTGGAGTCTCATCTGATTTCATTTCGCTGTCCTCTTTCAGGGAAGCCACCAGCTATCTCTGGTATGCCACAACTCTGAGTGGGACCTGCTGGGAGGCCCAAGTCACCTCAACCACCTTGCCTGCCCAGGTGTCAAGATGCTGAGCCGGAAGCTCCCCAGGCTGTTCCGCATAGACCAAGTGCCACAGGTACATGCTTTCATTCCAGGCAGAGCTCCAGGGTCTGCAGGGACCAGCCTCTGCAGTAGGGGAGTTCAGGATGCTTTCCACGGGCTCCTTCCCTTCAAGGCTCTCCTCCAACCTTCCTGTAGAAATCAGGAACCCCTCGCCACTCCCATGCACCAGGCTGGCAAAGGGTTGCATCCAGAAGCAAAGTCCTCAGAGAGACCTCAAATTTAGCCCAGCCAGGGGAAGTAGTAGCATCTGCTGGGTAGGAGAAGGCTGGGTAGGAACTGTGGTGGCTCCTCAAAGCAGGCCAGGGAGCAGTCACCTCAGTATGGCTCTGCAAAGTGTTCTCTCTCTCCCTCACTTCCCACAACTCTCTTTTGAGACAATCTAGTTTCAAACTCACGATCCTTCTGCCTTGCCCTCCCATGGGCAGGGATTCTAGACTACACCAGCTCTAGCCTTTACTCTAGCAGGAAGACCAGGCCAAGCAGGGGACTGGGCAATGGGGAAGGTCTTTCTTTGGACTTCCAATTCCCAAATAATGACATGGAGACTTCCAGTTAATTATGAAAGCTTGGCCTTAGCTTAGGCTTATTTCCAACTAGCTCTTAACACTTAAATTAACCTGTCTATATTAATCTACATTCTGCCATGGCTTGTTATCTCTCTTCAGTACAGTAGTCTAACTTCTGCATCTGGCTGGGGAAATCCCCTGCTTCTCATATTCTTCCCAGAGTTCCTGTCTCTGCCTGGAAGCCCAGTCTATCCTCTCCTGCCTATCTGCTAGCCATTCAGTTCTTTTTTAAACCAGTCAGAAGGTGTCTTAGGTAGGTGAGATAAAAGTGACAAATCTTCACGCTGTGTGATCAAATATCCCACAACAGGGAAGGGCCTGCTTAATAGCTTTTCTTGTCTCCTTTCTGTGGATTCCTGGGACTAGGGAGCCATCCTGACACACATGGCACTCACAGCACCCTGCTTGCGTAAGCCCTTACATTTTGGTTGTGTGCTGTGCCAAACCGGTGTACCTACGTCTTGCCTCGTAAAAAACAGTGTGAAAGTGTTCCCCCTGTCTCTGGACCCAGTCTCCTTCCTGCCGGACTGAATTAGAGTCAATACTTTTTTGTGGTGCTTCATATGGAGACAAGAGCCCCTTTCTGCTCATCTGATTGCCCATACTGATGTCTTGCAATACCTACGCAAGCTCAACATCACCTGCAGGACGTTGGGCAGAGATACCTGACAGGCTCTAAGCTTCAGGTCTAGAGCTAGGTGATGCCGGGGAGATGGTGCCTGGCAGAATCAGAGCAGTTGTGGGACAAGATGAGGAAAGCTGGAAGCTCTAAAGGGGTCCCTTTAGCAGGGCCCCGCCTCTGGTTTCACAGGGCCACCCACTTCCCGTCTCTGCTCACACATCAGTGGGTGGGACTAGTGGGAACACTGGGCAAGTCTTGGATTTATTCATTCATGACATTTTTATTGATTTCTTCCTGTGTGCAAGATGTTTCTCTACAGGACTGAGAGAAGACTTGCAGGCAAACTCTGTCCTTACTGGGCTTCTCTGAAGCCCAGGGGTATCTCAAAACACTCATGAGTCTTCTGTGAAGCAGCTCAGAGGAGAGACGTATCACTTCTGTCTTGGGAGGAAGGGATCAGGAGGGATTAAGATGAGTTTCAGCGGCTGGGAGAATAACAGGTGGTAAGGTGCTTGTTGTACCAACCTAAGGACATGAGTTCAAATCCCAGAACCCAAGTAAAAAAGCTGGTGAGTGTAACCCTAGCACTGGGGACGCAGAGACAGGTGTGGATCCCAGGGGCTCAGGCCAGCCAACCTAGCCTAGTCTGAAAGCCCCAGGCCAATGAGTGACTCTGTCTCAGACCAAAAATCAAATAAGATAGATGACACCTGAGGAAGAACCACCCTGGAGATATCCTCTGGCTCCCACACACATATGCATGCATACATGCACACATGAACACTTGCACACACTAAATAAATAAATGTAATAAAAAGTGAAAATGCCGAATACATAGTTTTGAGCCTCACGTAGCTCCCTGATGAAGAAAGGGACAACTTTGCAGTGGCATTCCTCATGGTGCTTTATCCCAGGTCCCAGCTGCTGGTGCAATCCAGGTTTACCGTTTTTATTGCCATTTATTTGAATCATCTCTTTGCCTGTGCCTTTCAACCCTTCCTGTCACTACATTTTAACTGTGCCTTGTGTAAACAGCTCGTAGTTGGAGTTTTACCTTGCGGCACATGTCTTTTCGCTGCTCTATCCGCTCTGTTAATGTCTAGAGTCATAGTTACAGAGGGATTTGCATTTGTTCCAACTGCCTCATGAGAATTTGTCTTTTTGCTCTACTTCTACCTTCCATTCTGGTTGTCTGTGATAAAGTGCCACATTCTCAGTTTCTTTGTTCCCTTCTCACATTCGGCCCCCCCTTATAGACATGTTTCTCTATCTACTGATTTAGATATCACTTCAACTGTTTTATCGTGAACTAGGCACAAAGAGTAGGCAGAGGTTAAAAATTACCCAGAATTGGTTGGGAATGTAGCTCAGTTGATAGAGTACTTATTAAGCATGCAAAAAAGTCCCAGGTTCAAGTTCTAGTACCATCACATGCCTCCTACAGTCTCAGCACTCAGGAGGGGGACAAGGGAGAATCAGAACTTCCTGGTCATCTCTGGCCACAAAGTGAATTTGAGGTCCGCTGGGCTATGAGACCCTGTCCTAAACAAGTTACCCCAGATACCTCAGTGACTTAAGGTGTCAAAGACTTCTTTCATCTGGAATTTCATAGTCACTGGGAGATGGCAACTGCAAGCAGATGGAAGATCGGGTCATCTCCTAGCTGCACCATCTGGAACAGGTGGCTTCCAAGGTCACCACAGAGGGGAAGAGAAAGGCCAGCATCTTCATGTGGCTTTCCCAGAAACAAACTTTGAGATAGAAACTGCTGTTCAGGAAGTTAACTGGGCGCCTTCTCAGAAACAGCGCTCATGAGAAGTGAGGTGGCAGGATGAAGGGGGGGCCGTGGCAGGATGAGGGAGGGGCCGTGGCATCCAGGCTTTCCCCAGCACACCAGCCCATCACATGCCCATCTCACGAGCTCTGCCAGGAACTTCCGCTTTCAGAACTGTCCCAATGAAGAAAGTAGGTCAGGACTTTGAATCCTTGGTAGGTGGGGGTGGACTGACCCTGGGAAGAGAACATAATGAAGGCAAGATTGTGCCCTTTGACCCAAAACAATTTCTCCCGAAGATGTGAGTTGGCTGAGTTCTGAGTGTGGAAAATATCCCTTTGAATTGCACTGTTGGCTCTGCAGGTGAAGGCACCTACAACCAAGCTTGACAACCCAAGTTCGATCCCCAGGACTCAAATGGTAGAAGGCAAGCACCAATACATACTAGTTGTCCTATGACCTCTATAGAAGCACTGTCACATGTGCTCATGAACACACACACGCACGTGCACACACACACACACACACATGCACACACACATGCATACGCGGACACACCACATGCACACAAAGTAAATGAATAAAATTTTTAAGTGTGAAGAAAAATGAACTGTAATTTCTTTCAAGGCATTGTGATGCTTGGAACTGCCCTGGCCGAGGGGAAATAGTCACCTGACTTCTGACCAAACTTCAAGTCTAAGAAATGGGGAAGCGCATGGGCAGTTGGTGAATGCTGATTATTCCTGCCACCCCTGACTTCTCAGGCCTGAAGACTTTCAACAGTTCTACCAATTCATAAGTCGTCACTACAAATGCCACATTAAAACCATGCCTCATTCTTTTGGAGAAATAGCTAGGTCTCTGTTTTGCTTTTTCATATTTCCTTCTCAGACTTTCTAAACATTCTGGAAACCTCCTTTGTTCTTTGTTTAGTTGCTAAATTCCTCCTCAGTCAGGCCTAGTCTTCAGTTTGTTCTTTCAATATACTTTTCAATGTTACTTTTTTTGTTTCTAAAAGCTACTCTAAGCTCTTTTCAAATGTTTCTTCTTTATATCTGTTTCATATCTGAACATAGTTCTTTTACATTTCAGGGTCTTCTTCAAATCTCTTCTCCCTCCTCTTCTTCATTTCACCTTCTCCCCCTTTCCCTCTCTTTTTTCCTTTTAAAAATATTTTTTGGGGGGGACAGGGTCTCACTGTGCAGTCCTGACTCACTTGGAACTTTATACACAAACTAAATTAGCCTCAAACTCAAGGTGATCCTCCTGCTGCTGCCTCCTGAGTGCTGGGATTGCAATTGTGCACACCTAGCTGTGACTCCATTTCTCCCAGCCTCTTTTTTTGTTTTTTGTTTGTTTGTTTTTCGAGACAGGGTTTCTCTGTGTAGTTTTGGAGCCTGTCCTGGCACTTACTCTGTAGACCAGGCTGTCCTTGAACTCATGGAGATCTGCCTGCCTCTGCCTCCAGAGTGCTGGGATTAAAAGGCATATGCCACCACCACCTGGCCTCCTATCCTCTTTTAAAAATAATTTTATCTATCTACCTATTTATTTATTTTTGAAGTCTTACCTACTTTCATTTGTGGGTGTTTGGCCACATGCAGTACTCATGGCAGCCAGCAGAGGGCGTCAGATCTCTTGGAACTGAAGTAAATAGATGGTAGTGAGCCACCGTGTTGTATACATACCTCTGAACTGTTAACCTTTCAGGGGGCCAGAGAGATGGTTTGGTGGGTAAGAGCATCTGAGAAAGCTTGTTAGAGCGCAACCTCTCCTCTAGGTGCTGGGGCCGCCTTCTCATTCCTGCCCTCTGGAGGCAGAAGCAGGAGGATCAGGAGTTCGAGGCCAGCTTCAACTACATAATGAGCTGGAATTCAGCCTAGAATGCATGAAACTGTCCCAGACAATAAAAGAATACATAAGTAACTGAAGAGTCTTATACCAGCCACCCAATTGCAGTGAGACCCTTGGGTGATCTGCCAAGAAACAGGTTTACGAATGGTGAACAGCCTTGGAAGAAACTCTGAGGACTAAATTCCTCTCTGCTCTTG